TAAATTGGGGAAAACATTTGCAGAAAATATGTCTGAAAAAGGAGTGCTTAATGAACTCCTGCAAATCAACAATAGAACAATAAACAACCAAGATTTAAAAACAGAAAAGGGATTTAAACAGTACATCCCAACAGAAAACACACAAAGGGCCAGTTAACACATAAGGGCTCAACTTTACTCTTCACTAGGGAAATGCAAATCAAAACCGCAACGAAATACCGCTTCCTACCATTGGGATGGAACCCGTCACCCACTGGTGGCATGTGCAGTGGTGTAGCTGCTGCAAACAGGGTGGTGGTTGGAGGGCCTCCTCGCTGGGCTGGGATGTGGCTCTGTGAGAACACTTGTCTACCCTGATTGAGGTCTCGGATTCGATCCCCAGCACCCCACACAACATGGGTAAAGCCCACATGACCTGGCAGTTTCACTTTTAGGGACACACCTTAAAGAACTGCCCTCAGCCAGCTGCGCATCGAGAAGTGGCCTCGGTGGCGGGGTCTGTGCTGTGTAAGCTCTTCCACAGTAAGAAAAAAGGCAACAACAGCACACAACGCAGGAGATACCTGCACCAACCATAAGCACCAGATCTGTACTCACTGAGCACTGGTGAGAGGAAACCGGAAGAGGTCCAGGGGACCCCCAGCTGGAGGGTTCACCATCGATCAACACCGACACCTTGAGATGCCAGTTCTCCACTCAGTCCCAGGTGAAAGCCTACCAGGAGTCAACAGCTGTTCTAAACTTCACGTGGAAAGGCAAAGGATCTGGAAGAATTTCGAGAAAGAACCAACCTGAGGGCTTCTGACTGAAGACCTCTTAAGCCCACAGGAACGGGGTCAGCGTGGTGAAGGCTGGAGTGGGGGGCAAAGCAGGAAAGAGCAGGGACCCAGATCAGAGGCCGGGACGGAAACAGGCAGTCTTCAGCCAACGGTGCTGGAATCGTGGATCTCCGTGTGAAGATAAACTGTGCTATGTAGGGCATGATGTAACATGGGACATGTTGCATCAGAAAAGAGGAAACTTAACTTGCTGGCTGCTACCCGATTCCCAGTCCTGGGGCCACATGTGGCTAAGAGAGCACCTGGCGATTAGCCAGAGGGCATTGCCATGGGTTGTGATGAAGAATCGGACCACGTCTAGGATAGGCTCAGAACCCTTCTGCCCTCACAGACATTACTGCCTATAGGATGGGTGTAGATGTAAATTCTCCCTGCTGACCTTTATCCTGATTGGCTCCTGTACATTATATTCGCTGTATATGTTTTCCCATTAAAGGAGATCCTGCTTTGACTGTTCTCCCTGGCCAGCCTGATTGTCCTCGGGGAGGGAGTGCTGGGTGTGGGCGGCCAGCTGACCTTTACCTTTCTTGGCCTTGGCCTGTCCTGGTCGGGGCGCGCTCCCCCAATCTCTCCCACAGGTCAGGAGGGAAGGGGGGGGGCTGAAAACCCTGACAGTGCTACATGCAACATTTACCTAAATGGTTCACAAACCAAAACGTACAACTAAAGCTAGAGAAAGTTTTAGAAGCAAAAATAGGAGAAAAGTGGTTTTGATCTTCAATTAGGCAAGGACTTCTCAGCTATGATACTAGGTACTGTCCATAATTAAGAATGTTTTAGATGCCTAATTTAATTATTTTTAAATGTAATTATTCATGTGTTATTAATTAAATTTTAATACTTTGGTTATGTAATTTACAGTTATATAATCATAATTTTATGATTTTAATTTTAAAAATGTTTGCTCTTCAAAGGGACTGCAAAGGGAATGAAATGAAAAGTCACAAATTTGTAGAAAAATTTGCAAATCACATGTATGTTACATTGACTTCTACCCAGAGTATAAAGTGTCTCAAATCTACATGAACAGATGGTCAACTTTATTGATTAATAAATTAGAGAAATACAGATTAAAATTCTAATGAGGCCAGGCACCATGGTGCACGCCTCTAATCCCAGCGGCTTGGAAGGCTGAGGCAGGAGGATCGCCAGTTCAAAGCCAGCCTTAGCAACAGTGAGGCACTGAGCCACTCAGTGAGACCCAACTCTAAATAAAATACAAAATAGGGCTGGGGATGTGGCTCAGTGGCTGAGTGCCCCTGAGTTCAATCCCTGGTTCCCCAAAACAAAAACAAAAACAAAACCAAACTCGAATGAGATATCCAGGAGCCGAATCCGATGCAAGCATACAAGTCTATATTGCAAGCTCAAACCTGGACTCCCGATGCAGGTACAGGTACAGGTATCTCCTGCGTTGTGTGCTGTTGTTGCCTTGTTTCTTACTGTGGAAGAGCTTACACAGCACTCACCAGGAGTGAGTCCTGGTCCTTTGTTCAGTGAGATTTTATAGGTTTTTGAGGGATATTCTATGTGTCACAACATCGAACAGCAAATCATTCCATACCGCAGGAAAATCAAACAACAACTCTTAACATTGATTAGCACATTCAATGGTGGGAACAAGTTGGGTAGGGGTGATTAGTTTGTACAAAAGGGGGATTCATTTGAACTGATTGGATTAGGCCATGAGGGTTGTCCGTGCTAAACTACATGGTTTCCCAACATGTTATCAACCACCATAAACTACTTGGGGGTCATCTGGCATCCCAGGTATTTTCCCTGTCTCACGAGGGACACCTGGCGCCCGCAGACCTCTCCTGTTATTTACAGACAAACAACTCAGCAGGGTGGGTATGTGCTTAGGAGTGCTCTGTGGGTTTTTCCAAGGACAAGGGTCATGCCCCCTTCCTTAGCACAGGCCTTGAGAGTAGAAGCTGCTGATGTTATTTATTTTTTAAAATGGAGTCACATTAGTTTCTCAATACCATCTATTAGAGGTATAAAGTTAAGAAATGAAAACTAAAAAGCCCTGACAGCCCGAGTGCCCGAGGTGCAGCTGAAACTCTACAGCCTGATGCAGGGATGTGGGCTGGACTAGAGCTTGGCTGGTCCTTAGAGCCAGCCTTCAACCCCAGCCCAGCCCTTCCCAGTCTAGGCACCTAGTGCATTTGCGCATCAAACAAAGACCTACGCACACAAAAACCCATGTGTGAGTACCTACAGAGGCTGCATTCATAATGGCCCCAACTTGGAAACCACTGGGGAAGGGCCACCGATTGGTAGGTCTGTGAAATGGATGACTGCTGGCCACGTGGAGGAGCTGGTAGGTGGAGCGACGCAGAAGGCATCATGCCAAGTGGATGAAACAGACTCAAGCTACACCTGGAGAATTCCATTTCTATGATATTCTGGAAAAGGCAAAGATATAGGAACAGATCAGCGGTCACAGGGAGCTGGGGCTGGGGGAGGGTGGCCACCAAGGGGACCTGTGGCCCTGGGGCTGATGGGCTTGATGTGCCGCTCCACTGTGCTAGTGTTATGCAGCTGACTGTATCTCTCCACACTGGCAGAAATGTACATCAACAAGGGTGAACTTTTAAACGTCAATCATAGCTTCATCTTTTAATGAAAGACAGGAAGGGGCAAAAAATGGCCTGGCCACTTTGAAGATTTCTGTAGAGGTTTTTAAATACAGTTACATGCACCTTGATCCCATTACCCCAAACTTCAAACCCCATACTTATTTATCAGGAGAAATGAAACATTTGTTCACAAGAAGACTTGTGCCAGAAGGTCCTTAGCTCCCTTATTCGTAATAGCCCAAACCGAAACAGTGCTACTGCCCATCGACAGGACAGAGGAACCAACGTGGGCAAATCTATACAACAGACTGCCACCCTACAATAAAGAGGAACAAAGGGCTGATCTGCACAGCAGGTGGCTGAACCTTAAACCTCAGCAGCCAGTCAGAGAAGCCAGGCGCAAAGCAGGTGGCCTGGTTCCCTTTATGTGACTTTGAGAACAAAGTTTTTCTCCTCTTTGGGGAGAAAAACCAGAATAGCTGCTGCCTCGGGTAGGGAGGGTCACAGACTGGAGAGGACATCAGAGGCCTCTTGGGATTAGGGAGAACACCTACATCTAGCTGAGCTTCCATGGGTAAATTTGTCAAGGACGAGTTGGTCAGCATCATCCCCAGTGCCTTCCCTTTCCTCTCTTCCCCTTCTCTCCTGATCTCACCTCTATTCTCAGGAGCTCTCTCCTTCCTGCCCCTTTTCCTCTCCAGCTTCCACACATGAGAGAAAGGGTAAGACCCTGACCCTCGAGTCCGGCTGATTCTGCCTAAAGTGATGCTCCCACTTCCATCCGTTTCCCCCGCTGGTGACGAGCCCCATTCCCCACGGCTGCGTGGAACTCCCTGGCGTCATCCATGCCGAGCAGACAGGCTCCCCTTCCATGTTCCTCGCTGTACACACCACATTGGTTTATCTGTCCATCTGCCACGGACACTTGGGCAGCCTCCACCTCACAGGGCCCTGCCAGTGCAGCACTGTACTCCCTAAGAATAGCACAGCCTCTCGGCCACCTTTCCCCTCTTTATTGTGATGACCTGGTAGCTGACCAGAGATCCATCAGAGGCCAGCGCAGGGACGAGAATGACACCCAAGCCAAGCGGGGAATCCTGGAAGTGACCCTCATCCACTGGGCTCCTCCAGAGGCTAACGCTGTGCCTGGGAGGAAGGTGGGAACGCGTGGAGCTATTTCAAGCCCAAACGCAGCAAAGGCCGCCTTCTGCCTATGCCCAGGGAGAAGACCTTCTGGCCTGTCTGGAGCTTGCACAACTCAGCCTCCCAGCCCGGTTTGGCACCTCAGATGACCTTGGGACCGCCCTGGGAGAGGTGAGGCTGGAAGCTGGCTCAGAGAGGGTGTCCACCCAGGGCCAGCCAGCAGGTGGCAGCAGATGCCACAGGCCCGGGACCAACCAACCCACTGACCCTGTGTGAGTGCAGTGTGGTAGTGTCAACTGTTCACCGTGGTGAGGAACCGGCCGGCCAGCCGCCCCAGAGGCTGTGGGCCTTTCTCTGGCCTTCCTCCCCACCTTCGCTGGTCCACCTTCTCCCATTTTGCACTTGCGTAAGGATTCCGCCAGAGCCGGAGTGGGCGATGCCACCGGGAGCCTGTGCTGGCGAGCTTGTGCTCTCTGAGCTCCGAGAAGATGGGCTGAGGGAGGTGGTCCAGGGCTGGGGCTCTCGGGGCCTGCTGAAGCACAGGTGCCCAGGCATGCTGAGTGCCCTTGTTACCGCTGTTGCTTCCCCAATGCTGAAGTGTAACACCAGAGAAGCACGCCGAGGCAAGGTTAGAGTGCAAAGTGGAAGCTTTATTAAGGGCAGCAGAAAAGACTTCTCCCCTCCCCAAAGGAAGAAGGGGACCCAAGAGTCGGAATCCATGGAAGGGGGGTGGTCTTCCCTCTTTTATAGGCTTACTTTCAGATTTCCCACATTTCTGTCCTTTGTTCTGTTGTCTGGCACTGATTAAATGTAAGTGGAAAGGCACAAAAGGTGAGGCACAGATGAGCCAGAGTAATCTGGGCAGGAAGGGCTTTTGGATTAGCATCTCTTTGTTTGCTGGGAGCTGCTTCATTAACATTTCCTTGGGATGGGCTCTGGGCCTTGGGGACTTTTTCAATTCCCCTTTTCCTGGACTCCATTCTCAATATTAGACTCGATTTACTACATTACCTACCTATCTGTAAATCTGGCTTCACCCTGACGTCCCACACCAGCTGAGGTCCTGGCAGAGAGCTAAGGAGGCCTCCAAGCTCCCCCAGGTCCTAAGACTGTGCAGGAAGCATACCCACCAGCTTTGGGGCCAGGATGACTCTTCTGTCACACCAGGGGTTAGGCTCCTCCCACTGCCTCTGAAATAAGAAAGTATAGACAGAGGCTTTGTTCTCCCACCGGTGACCTCTGAGGGTCCATGGTCCCTGAGAGAGAAACTGGCTCACTGATTCTGAAACTGCTAGGCGTGTGCTTTGCCACTGAACCACACCCCCAGCCTTTTGAAAATTTTGAAACAGGGCCTCACTAATTTGCAGATGCTGCTCTCAAACTTGTAATCCTCCCGCCTCAGCCTCCCCAGGGGCTGGGATTACAGGTGTGTGTTAC